TCTCTATGGCAAAAACTGAAAATTGTCTCCCTCCTAACTCAGCCAGTATGAGTCTGGCAGTTGGGAAATTTTTATAGGATACTCGGCAAAGACAGGGGAACAAAACGTACCATTCAAATTTTTTTTATAAGCACTTTCATTTTTTTTTATCGATTGTACCAGAAAGTTACGTTTCTCTCATTTATATGTGTGTATGTGTGTAGAAAGTCAAAACAGAAAGAAAAATGAATCTACTAGTTTGAAGGATAAATACTGAGTCAATATAACCTATTCAAACAAGACTATTTTTTGAATTCTTTCCCGAGTATCCATTTAAATATCCGATTGTTGTATTTTTCTTTTGATATCTCGTATGCTTTTCGAATATCTTGAATCAAAAGACTTGTCTGCCTGTTAGGTGCTATGGCTTTCAATGTTGGCTGATTGTCCGTGAATAGGGTACTTTGTTTTGATGAAAGTAGCCTATCCTGTACAATAAAATGTACGCATAGCTATGGACGAGAAAAGAATTCAAAGAATAGGCTTCTTTGAACAGGTTATATTGACATCTCTAGAGCTACTTTTTCTCTCAATTTTGTAAAGCGCACAGTTAGTGGAAAAGTCGGTTTGTCAGTGTCTCCGGAAAACTTGTAGAAACCTTCGTTGACAGTATTTATCCTTTAAATATTGGATATCTAATATTTAATGTATTTATTGTTTCTTTCTGTTTTGGCTTTCTACGCACATACACACATATATATATCTACCTGGTGTACCGTATGATATGCGACAGACTGACAACTTGATTATGATTATTTAATGCTAGCACAGTGATTGTATCTTTTACAAGGTCAATACTGGTATACTAATATTTCTTTACAGAAAGAAAAACAGGCATATATTTAATGAATGTGATTAGAGACCTGTATTACTAGAAACCATCATGAGAGAAGGGATAAAACAAACCCGGTGCATTTAATCACACCAAAACGTATTTTTCTCTATTTTTTCTAGCCATGAAATGATCTACAAAGAGCCAAAACATTATTTTTGATTATTAACAGACGACAAAGATTACGATATATCATTCGATACAACTCACCAAAATGAAAGCTTACGATTTCAGCTACAGATTACTTCAAAATATTGAACTGAAATATTTAGGAAATTAAGGGGAAGAAAACGTTTGAAGAAAATAATTTTGCTAAAATCAGTTCTGCATTGTTTGACTCATATCTATGTCTGTCTATCCATCTAAGCTAAAAACTTGATTTTCATGGTAGTGATTACTAGTCGTAATCAAATCAAATAAAAAAAATTATCCAGGTTCGTATATCTGATCGCCTTATAATAAAATAATTACTGGAAAGCAACGATAGACCAGCTATGCAAATCACTCATATATATTGAATCTAACGAGCAAATCAAATCTGTATTAAAAACGAGTAACATAGAGATCGAGCCTTACTATTTAAATGTATGCTTTTAAACTACTAAAATCACAAACATTCAAAAATCTCAAAAGATCCCAAAAAGCCCATAAAACTGCAACATTATAAATGATCAGATATTGTATATAGTCCTATGTTATAATAATCCGTGCTTTTGGTCCTGTTTTTACTTGCTGCATCACGAAATTTTAGAACATTTTCCAAAAAATTGCTGCAAATGCAATTCCCTCAATCTATGCGTATTTTATAGAAAACAAATATAGTTGTATTGATTTGTCTACGCTTTCCTACGGCAAGAATAACTGTTCATCCTCTTCCTTTTCTGACAAATACTAGAGATCATCCGTATGATTAGGAGCATCTAAATTTTTCCACGGTGATAGTAACTGACTACTATTGATTAAAAGAATATCATGTTTTTTCATTTTTCGGGTTGCATATCTAATTCCATGTTCTTCAATACCTTTTGTAGCATCTTTAATAACATATACGGTATAATTCAACGTTCTGGCGTCCATAGCACTGTAAAATACACAATAATCGAATGCCAAACCAACAACATATACATCGGTAATACCAGCGTCAAGGAAGTTTTGATGTAATTGTGTTTGTGAAAGACGATTATTGTCAAAAAATGCACTATAAGAATCAATATGACAATTAGTACCCTTTTGAATAACAATGTCACGTTCTGTATTGATAAGAATTCCATCAACAATTCTTGCACCGAAACTATTTTCAATGCAATGATCAGGCCATAATCTCTGGTGTGACTTAATCAATCTAGTGGGATCTTCATGTGTGCAATCAACACCCTTATCGGTTCATGCATTTAGGACGTCCGCTTCATTTGGGAAAGCGATTTCAAACGTCCGAAAAATATTTTTGTAAATATTACGTATTCAAGACTTTCTCGATTTGAGGATTTTGTTAGCTGTACTCATAAAAATAGTGGTAAAAGTTGAACAATTCACTCTTTTAACTAAAAATAGAACTGACTCTTTCTTCGAGTTATCTTCTCATATTAATTAGTGTCCTTCTATCAAGTGATTATCTGTCAGTGTGAACAAAGCAAAGCATAAAGTTCTTACTCGTTTACTATCTATTGTTGTAATTCAACTACAGTACCCGATTCGAAAATATTTAAAATAAACGATTATTCTAACAGAGAAAATACCCAGCGAGTCTCATAAACAGTCATCTAGAATGATCTGGACTTCTCTTACAAATGCACCATCGACATGTTCTTGAAGAATCACTCAAAAGGCTGAAGCGGATGTCGGTCGTCAACAAAATATTGTGAAAAAAAATATGCTGTAGAAGACTGAAACCTTTTTGGGGATGAAGTTCTGGAAGAAGAGAGGTACCAATTTTGGATACTACCTGGACAGGGAAAAGGAGGAGGACAAAAATGCGATATTTTACGTCCTAAATGGTCCCTATTTGATGAATACTTTTTTTGATAGCCACATAATTCACCTTGTTGCGTATAAGTCAAATTACATGTAGTAGTAAAGGGTGGTGGATGAGGATCGTCGGCAGATAGAGCCGGTCCGCATGTATCTGCTGAAT